CTTTTCAGAGTCAGCATGCCTGCAGTTGTATATTTTTGAAGAATGATTAGACACCATCTTCTTCAGCCTGTGAAGTGAAATAGATTAGTAGTGCTTGGGAGCCTGACATTTCTGTGGTGTCGTTGTTAGGAGGTGACAGCAGGTGATTCCAGCCTACTGTACACAGAGTGAAGTGGTCTGAGCCAATGACCAGGTGTCTCAGTTAAAGCTCTAGGACCTCAGAACCTGAGAAACCTGTTTTCCATGACAAAGACCAGCCTGTTTGGCAATTTTGTCATAGCTAATGTGCAGAATGCCTGCCAGGGTTTTGTAATTTAGGTTCATATTTCAGGTAATGTGTGATTTTTAACCATTTCTGATGCTTTTCCAATGTTACTGTTTCTTAAAGGCAGAAATTCCATTTTTGCATATTCTGAAGGCAATGTATCCAAATTTGGTTCCCTTTAGCTTTTCTTGCTCTGCATTTTAAAAACATAGAAATGCACTAGCATTTGTGAGCATACAAATAGGACGTGAGATGTTTTTCATGATTATTTCCCAACACTGTTCTAAGACCAATATATCATTTTGTCATCGCTTCATAATAATAGAGTTATTCATTAAAGAGTAACTTCCTGACAATTTATCCAACCAAGTCCCCCTCAGCCTTGGCCAGTTGCTTTGGTATGATGTTGTCTCTAATCCTGTCATTGAGTGTGATTGAAAACAGGCCCAGGCCAGGGCCTGGCCTTGTGGAGCCCTCAGATGGTGATAAAGGCCCTTAGGAATGTTGTGGCTTTTAGGCAACTCGAGTGTCATGTTTTTCCCACTAGCTGCTGCTGTAGTGGCTTTTTCTGTCCGTCTGAGGGGTCTGGTGCTCTCTAATCAGACCATTGTGAACTGAATGCAGCCCCACCTCTGCTGTTGGCTTAGCTTAACCACCCAGCCAAGCCTGTGTCCTTGTTTGTAAAGTGTGGGTGTTGCTACATGATTCACAGCTTTAGTGTGACCATTTAGAAATAGTGCACTTAATGTGCCTGGCATAATGTTTAGTGAGGGCAAGAAAATAAGATGTCAAGAAATAAGTAAACCTCTGCATTTTAATTTTAATCTGGATCTACCAAAGTATATAGTACTTTAATTTTTTTTTTAAGTTTTTTTTTTTTAGGTTCTTTTAAGGAAGATGGTAAGTCATGGAAGCCATCTTTCACACTAAAAATATTTCTGACTTTTTATACAAGCTTTTTGGAGAACAATGAGAGAGAAGATGCATTGATGTTATTTGAGGTAAAAGTCAAGAATATATGGCACGTGTTTCCTAAAGGAAGATTGTCTCCTTTGAAATAAGCAAACAAAAACAAAATTATTTTTCACGAGTTCGCTTCTCTCAAGCCTACAGTAAAAATTTATATCATAAAGGCTAAAAAGCAATTTAGTTAGTGAAAGCACGTGACAAAATGATTCTTTCCTCCATTCGGTGTGGAGCTTCTGTGCTCACAGAAAGGACTGTCCTGACACAGTAAGGGTATGGTTAGATTTATGGTTAGATTTCGTCTTCATTGAACCTAGTTTGGGCCAATTAATCTGCTACTTAGAGAGCTGTTTTACGCTAATAAAATTTGAGTTTAAAAAGACATTATCTTTCTTTTTATTATATTTTCAAATGTATACAACAAAGCAAAAGCAGTTTTATGAGCTCCTATGGATCAATCAGCTTCAACAATTGTCAATATTTTGTCTTTCCACACATACTGTGTTTTCTGTCCAACTTTTCCCTTAATAAAGAGACATTTCTAAATTGCCCTGGGACAGAGGTGAAGTCCCCCGCATCTCACCCTACCCCACCCAAGGAACCTGAAAATAAGGCTGCTTTCTGCAACTTAAACTGAAATCAGCGTGATAACTGAGAGCAGCTGGGGGCAGCTGTCTGAGACAGAATGGCCTCCCAGGCCCAAAAGATTTGTAAGGAAGGGACCAGCATATCTGCAGCAGGAACATTCCAGTCAGGAAAGGAAGTGCCCCAGAGGCAGACCTGATGGACAGGATGTTCGTAGGAATCCTGCAGTAAACTTTCCTTACTTGTGACTCAAAGCGACCTGCTGTGCTTCTGCTTGCTTTCCAAGGTGGTATGCTGGTGGCAGTACACATCTGACCCGCATGACAGTTCTTTTCTCAGTGTCCTTTCATGTGCTTAGATAGTAGGGATCAGTATCCCTGTCTCATAAGCGCTGGCCGGCCACTAAGAGTGTGCGTCTGCCTGCCAAGATGAGGGCCATGTTCCAGGCAGCATTGACTTCACCAAGGAAACCGCAGCCCACCCCAGATAGGCTTTTTTTCCCCTCTTCACACACCCTCAGGCTTCCATACCTGCATAGAGTGTGTATCTGGCACTCTTGCTTGTGAAAAGCCACCGAATTCCCACCCTTTACACTGGTCACCTTGTTGCATTCTCTGCTGTGATGTCTGGTGATTCCTGCCTTGAGCTTCGTTCAGCCCTCTCAGGTTTTTGTTTTAATGGAAATATAATTCACATACTGTATGGTTCACCCATTTAAAGTGTAAAATTCTGCCTTTGGGTCTTTGTCAAAAGACCTGACATTGCTCAGAAAGCCAGGACACAGAGTAGTCAGGGTGCTCTCCAGGGCATTCAGCCTCGCAAGGCCTTGGGCAGGCTGTGGCTGCCTGGGTAGCTTGGGGTCATAGTGGACCCGGTGTGGGTCCTCTCTGTTTCGTCTTGATAGCAGTGCTGCCTCCGGCATTTGACCAGCAATGTGGGTCAGGAAGAATCAGAACCAGAGAGCCCTCCTGCCGTGTTTGTCCTGGGCTGTGTTGATTGGGTATGTTCTGTGACCTTTGGCACATTTTTAAAAGGACCTGCTCCAGGTGCACCCCAGCTGGTTCTGGTTGATGTGTTATAGACAACCGGCAGCCCTATTTTTTTAATTTATTTTTTTATTAATGTATCATTTACGTACCAAAAAGGTAAGGGTACATTTCAAGGATACAATCCAGTGATTTTTGGTACATTTACAGAGTTATGCAACCATCCCCACAATCTAATTTCGGAACGTTTCCATCATCCCCAAAAGATCCCTGTGCCCAGTTGCAATAATTGCCCCACCCCACCCCCCAGAACCAGGAACCATTAACCCACTTCCTGTCCCATTGATTTGCTTTTTCTGGACATGCTATATGATTCCATTCACATGAGGTGTCCAGAAAAGGTCCTTTTTTTTTTTTTTTTTAAATTGGGGAGTTAGAGGATGGGAACAGCGCTGGGGAATTGGGGGAAGGGGAACAGACAAGTTGCTGTCCTTTTGTTCTTCAGTCTAGTTGTGGAGGAC